GACTAGTGGTGGCATGCTTGTCTTGTCCACAAGACCTTGGTTTGATCTCCAGCCCCAGCAGAAAAAGTAGAGAGTTCAGCCTACCTGGAGCTTTGGCTGTGATCTCAGTCCACGCTCTGGGCTCCTTAGCAAAGTTAAAGCATGCTGGCCTTTGTGTTACACAAGTTGGGAAGAAGCCTCTTATTCATCTGTCATGTAGTTTTTATTTTATTTCTTTATTTCTTTAGGTTTATTAATTTTGTGAAAAACTACCAGAATCCAAACCTGACCATTTCTTTCACTGCTGAGCGAAGTATTGAAGATGAGCTGAACCGAGAAAGTAACAGCGACGTCTTCACCATCGGGATTAGCTATGCCGTCATGTTTGTGTATATTTCTCTGGCTTTGGGGCACATCCAAAGCTGTGGAAGATTTCTGGTGAGTGTGTGTGGGGGTGAGGGTTTCATGTGTATGAGTTAGGGAGGACAGTACACACAGAGACATTGTATTTTTTGCCTCTCTTTACTAATCTGCTATGTCCAAAGCTGCCTTAAATTACTGTCCTTTAAGGAACTTTCTCATTCTTTTTTAAAACTATTATTTTTATTTTATATGTATGAGTATTTTGACTTTGTGTATGTAAGTGCACCACATAATGCAGTGCTTGTGGAGGCCAGAAGAGGGCATCAGATCCCCTGGAGTTACAGATGGTGGTTAGCAGCCATGTGGGTGCTGGGAACTGAACCCTCATCTTCTGCAAGAGCAGCCAGATGGCTCAGCCACTGAGCCATCTCTCCAACCCCCAAAGTTTGTTTATTTTTGTCCATGCCACCACTTGCCACTGTGATTTCATGAAATGTATTGCTTGGGAAGACCTAGAAAGTTTTTTGTCTTCTCTCAAACTGTGAATTGTACTTTCAGCTTCATTTTAGATATACCCGTGTAACAGATAGGATAAAGAAAGCGCTCTGATCATCTGTGCCTTTGCCCCATGTCAGGTGGATTCTAAAATCTCCCTGGGCATTGCGGGGATCCTGATCGTGCTGAGCTCGGTGGCCTGCTCACTGGGCATCTTCAGCTACATGGGGATGCCTCTGACCCTCATTGTCATTGAAGTCATCCCGTTCTTGGTGCTGGCTGTTGGGGTGGACAACATCTTCATTCTGGTACAAACCTACCAGGTAAATATTCATCTTCTCCTGAAGCAGGGCCTCTCTCCAAGTTCAGGGGTTTGTAAACAGCTGCTCGGCTCTGCCTTGGAGAATGCAGATGGCTTTACATCCTTCCCCCGGTGGCTCCTTGCTATTGTTGCTTTGTTCTGGATGTTTTAGGACCAAGAATTTGAGCTGTCTCTTCAGTTGGTGGACTGATAGAAAGTGAGAATTTGGTATGAAATGATTCCTGTTTTCACATATGTGCAGGCAGACCTAACACACTTTGGGGAAATTACTTTGGGTATGTGATCAAAGTGATTCCTAGCACACCATAGACAAGTAATAGATTT